GTTTTCTTACCTCTCACAGCTTTCACAGAATTGAAGAATTGAGGGCCTTGCTCTGGAATAGGTTTTGGCATAAGGGAATCCTGTGGCTTTGCTTAATCTTCTTTATCCAAACCATTCAAATATTCTTCATAAGCAATGATGCTGTTTCACTTTCTTATCATCTGTGTGTTCACTAGAGTATCACTTTTAACTTTCTTTGAGATCTTTTCCTTTGTGTTCACAGCTTGGCTAACTCTTTGGCACAAGAGGCCTAATTTTTGGCCTATCTGAGCTTTCTACATGCTTTCCTCACAAAACTTAAGCTTAACCATTTCTAGCTTTTGATTTAAAGTGAGAAGTGTGTGAATTTTTCCTTTTACTTTAAGACTTAGAGGTCATTATAGGAGTATGAGCTGCCTAATTTTAATATTGTTGTGTCTCAGGGAATAAGGAGGCCCAAGGAATGGGAGAGAGATGTGGAAAGGGCCCATTGGTGGAACAGTCAGAATACACACAAAATAGTCATCAACTAAGTTTGCTGTCTTATATGGGCATGATTTGTGGTGGCCGAAAACAATTACAGTAGTAATATCTTAGATCACTGAGTAGAGAGCACCATAATAGATATAATAATAAAAGCTTGAAATATTGTGAGAATTACCAAAATGAGACACAAAGAAGTGGACACACTGTTAGAAAAAATATCACTGATAAACTTTCTTCAAATCTACAATTTATTTGAAAAGACAGGCTCTGCTAAACACAGTAAAGAGGGATATGCCTGTATATCTGCCATGAAATTCTGCACCACAAATAGGAATGACAATGTGAAGGAAAGTCAGTGTTCATCCCAATTATTTCCCTTGATTTTCTAAAATATGTACTGCTTCCAGATCTCTGAGACCACAGGAAATAAAAAATAAAAGAAAAGAAAAAATTTACTGCCGAATTTAATCATTTGAGTTCTTGCAGTGATGCCCGAGAACCATATGCAAAAGTAAATGGCATCAGAGTGCAACATTATGCACATGAGACTTGGGGGCTAGCTAGCTTAAAACATTGAGTGGACAGGGCCATGGACATGGAGCTATGGACTACGACCATAACACAGAGAACACTGGCAGGATGAAAATCTCAACTACTGAACTTTGTTGATTGAAAAACACATTTTTCTTCCCTACGTTTTAACCTATCTAAAGTTGATCCATCTTACAATCAATGAATTTCCTTAGTTTAATGAATAGTATTCTCTTCTTTTTAATGGTATGGGAAATAAGTCCATATTTCAAAATACATTGCATTATTTATTATTTATTAATTGAATGCTTTTGTAAGTCTTCTTTTTAATGGCATGTGAAATACCATTAAATCTTCTTAATGGTATGTGAAATAAGTCCATATTTCAAAATATATTGCATTCTTTATTAGTTATTAATTGAATGCTTTTGTAACTCTAGCATCTGTAATGGGATGAACAGAGTTTTCAGAAAGAAAAGAGAGAAGAGTGAAATCAGATTATTAGGAGCAAAGAAAGGCATTACAAATTTATATCTGCTACCACAATCGTGTGCTTCATATGTGTGTAAAAATATAGCTTTTATCATATAACACTAAAATCAGTTGTGAATACTTCCACCTCACTCTCTAAATGCTATAACCAGTGGACCACGAATTAATCTGCCTTGTATTCCCCAGTGCTTGCAACTTGATAGAAGATCAAATTTATTTGTTCAAGTAAGTTAAATCTAATATTTTTGTCTTTTACAGAAAGGGAAGCAAACGAAATTTGTTATGATAAATTTGTTAGGTACTTCTTAGGAGTGTATTAAGTTGTCCGATAAGGAACATTACTTTAGCTATTTGATTACTCTCTAATTCACTGAAGCATTCATTTCCTGAATGTAGTAATTACAAATCAGGAATCTGCTAATGGAGAAATGAATTAAAACATAGTGCTCCAGGGTAGCTAGCAATACTTAGGTGACCTAAAATATTTGTAAAAAGAAAACATCTTCTGCCAAAGTAATTTGCCTAGTAGCAATCTTAGCCTTAATTGTTACATGTGAAGTAAATTTATAAAGATCCCCATTTTCTAGGTGTGTATATTACAACCGGCATATCAAACATGGATAATATATAAACAATGGCAGAGTGATTAAATGTAAACACATTTCTATCTTGTTCACACTGAGCATAAATGAATATAGAAATAGAATGAAGAAAACTTGGCCAGCATAGTTAAATAGGTGGTAGAGATGATAAATGATGAGTTCTAATAACTCAAGCAAGGGAGGTTCCCAGGACAAGGTTGGCATTTTCAGAGTCCTCTGAATGACAGGACACACAAGATCAATCACCTCGTATGTGGTGAGAAATTTTTCCCAGATCAAGACTGTCCCTAGGGTAGGCAAAAATTGATAATGAAATATTCACAGGAGGAATTTTGGAAGGAACGGGATTTCTGAACTTATGGGAAATGGAACTAAGGTAGAGCTGACTTTCCAGTTACAGAGTTTGTGGAGAAGCATTTTTACTCCCTGTAAACGAACAAGAGGAAGGACGTACTGGAAGCTCAGGGAAAAGAACAAGTTTGGGGACAATCACCCAATGAAGGGGAGAATAAACAGAGTAGGAATCCAGAATATGATTGTCCGGTACTATTAGATACCTCCTTGAAATTTGTCTCTATAAATGAATGTGAAATCGGCATAGTTACAAGTATTTTCTAGCTTGTTCCGATGCACAGCAGCAAGGCTGATTTGAACTTAACCAGAGTTGACATTTTGCCTAGCTGATATGATGCGTCAGGAAGGTAGGCTACATAAGGAAAAATGATCGCAATGATTCACCATGGAATTTAACTAAGTAAGGAGGAGCGTGTGGGCACCACGGAGAAGAGGGACTGTTGAATGATGATCACACTGAAGGGAATAATTCATGGAAGCATGCATAGGACTGTCAGGGTAAGAGATGAGAAAGAACTGTAGTGCAAATGTTATTATAAGATAGTAGGGGATATGGAAAACATTTATACTACAGTTAGAAAATTTATCTAATAGTAGGGGAACATTTATACTACAGTTAGAACATTTATCTATAGTAGGGGAACATTTATCCCCTACTATAATAGGGAATATAATAACATTTATACTACAGTTCTCTCAGAACATACATTCCTAGTGTATGTAAAATAGACACTAAGAAATGACTATGTTGAATGCAAGGATTTAGAAAAATGATTAATAGGAAAAACCAAGTAGTAAAAGTTATGTCATTTGCAAGGAAATATAATCATCTGGTCGGCCTGAAAATTTTCTGCATAAAGGGAGGAAAAGAGTGTTCTATTTTTAGTACAGATGGGGTCTTGCTCTTGCTCAGTCAGGCTGATCTTGAACTCCTGCACTCAAGCAATATATATTAATTACAGCAAGCACCTTGTTCCACATAACCTAAAAACGTAGGGTAATAATTGGAAGCTGCCATAAGCCTTTAAAGAATAGCTTTGCTAACTGATCAGAACAATGCAGAATAAACCTATTAAAATGGAAAAGGAAATGTTTGAAAGAATGTGGAAAATATGACATTCTTATATACTGTTAATGAAAATATCAGCAAAATTTTTCCCTTCATAAAGCACTGGGATATCACATTTTCCTACAAAATCTTTCTTCTATTTTTCTTTTACTTTCTTTATTTCCCTTACTCCCTCTCTCCCCCTTTCTCTTTCTATCCCTCCCTCTCTTTTTCTTCCTTCCCTCCTTCCTCCTTTTCTCCCTTCTTCCTTTTTTTTTCCTCTCTCTTTCTCTCTAGCTCTATATCTAGATATGTACTAAAAATACCCCAAAATTTCAAGGTTATCTCTAGACAGCGAAAACATACATATACACATATACATGTCTGTAACATGTATAATAAATGTGTAATAAAATATATATATATACATTTTTCTTTGTAGTTTTTTTCTATCTGTAGTTTATCAGTATCCTACATTGACAAGAAATATATTTTCAATTCTAAGGTACACATATATTCCCATTCTTAAAATCAAGACAACCCATATAATTCGTAGTATATTAGATTCCAAGAAATGTTACAATTTTGTAACTGAAATATTAGGATATTTAAGGTATAGAAGGGATGATGATTCAAGGTAATACAGGATAGCTTGTCTACATAGCTTAAAATACACTAGAACAGCTTTCAAAGATCAGTAAGGAGAAAGTAACAATTAGGTTGTAGGTGAGGTTGTTTTGTGCCGGTTCAATAAAACCAAGCCAAGAAGGCCTTCAATAGGGATGAAGTTATTTACCATTTAGGCAACATAGGGAGAGTGTGTTGAAAAAAAAAAAAAAAAAACACCTTTTTCTGTCGCATTTTATTTCAATTGGAGTGAGGCATTATGAGATAGATTTTGCAGACTGGGCTCTTAGAACAAGACCCAGAGCTTGTAGGGAAATGGTCTCATGACCACAATGTCTACCAGGGCCCATTTGTGAAATTACCTCTCTTGAAATGTACCCACCAAATTTTGAACTTGATTCTTGTCCTTGCACAGATAAATATATTTTACTTATAAATTGGATTAATGTTCATAATCCCACAAAAATATGAATAACCTCTGAATTAAAGGTGACCATATCCACTCTTCCTGCTTAAATCTCTTCCATTTGAAATTCCCCCCAAAATCTTTTTCTCAAATCATAGAATGCTCTGGACTGTACCCTTCTCTTCATTTTATCTTATGTAGAAATTTTTTTGATAATTATTTTCTTGTCATTAGAATAGATTCTTCAAGATATATTCACAAGTGAGAAGCAGGCAAAGATAATTTCCCCCAGAATATTGAGTTAGCCTTTTACTGGACTTCAAAATAATGGCTTAATGGTGGCAGAGTTCAGATAATTTTTCATTTGTACCAGAATCTCTCATACAAAGGGAAATTATGATGTCTAAATGCATTGCATATGCTTTGTTTTATATCCAAATGGTATTAAATGAAGATTTTTAAGAAACTGCCTTACCCAAGGAGTTTGACTGCATGTGTCCGAAGCTTTCGATAGTTTTCTGATTCTCCATGTGTGCTGGCAACATGTCTATATATCCCTGACTTATAATGGAAGAAATCCTCATGGACTTGCATTATAGCTAAAATTAAACACAATAGGGGCATATGACAAATGGCATGGTATTAAAAAATCATCTTTAAAAATATGCAAAAATTCTCACAGAACAGTCAATGGATAACTTTAGAAGAGGTTGGATCTAAGAAAGGATTGTGCGATTTAGCCTAATTTTCTTTCCTGCTTAATTTAACTGGAATATTGCAATATTTTCTTATTCTCTTATAAAAACAAGTTTTAGGTATTTGTAATATTACTTTAGTACACATTATGCTCTTAAGTGACTGTGTAGTCTATCAGCAGAGGCATTACCAGGAATTGAGCCCATTTGCAGGAAGGCCCACTACATTTGCTCACCAATTGCCATTTCTTCATTAACCTTGTGCTTCATCACCAGCCTCTTAGAACCCCAATTAAGCTAGCAGAGAAGCTTGATCCCAGTAACCTGTGCTTACAGCAGCTATTCTTAATCCTTAAAAGTAAACACAACCCTTTCTTTAGTAAGTTTGAGTAAAAAAGCAAACCCTTAGCAACAGAATACCCTGCCAAGAATTCATACCCCCACCCCCCAGCTCTGGAGAGCTAATCCATTGTTCCTTGCTTTAAAAAGTAGAGTTTAAACTTTAGAAAGCTCTTCTTCATTCCCCTACCTAGATTATTTCTCTATTGGGGGCTGCTTTGTTATAGAGCTTGGGAAATTCAGGGTGAAGACTTTAAACTTCTCTTCGAAAAAACCTGAACTGAACATTTTTTAATGGAGATGATATACGTATACCTTGACAACTGTGTACAATGCTTGCCTCGGTGTAATAAGCATTTTAAATAAAATAGGAACTCAGACAACTAGGATTTAATAGATCTTTTTTTAAAAAGCATATACTCCAAAGTTAAATATAACTTTTTAGATGTTTCAATTTTTATTTCGCTTGTTTGGTGAACCACATGATCTCAAAGAGGTTAAATCGTCTTTATCTACTCTAAAACACATTTCTATAGGACTTTTAAGAATTTTTATATCTGCACTCTATGCACATCTCTGCTTTTCTTCTTTGTCCATCACCTATACTTATTTTTAACTATACGTATTTTAGAAGACTATACACAATGCTATTTATTTAGCATTTTAACACCGTTTAGATTTTTTTCATACTGAGGCAGAGGGAAATTTTAGATGGTATGTCAGACAATAGTGAACAGACAATCATGTCTCACCTAGAGCAAAAAGAGTCAATCAGAATTCTACCCACTTACAAAAATATGAAGATATGGCTAGTGGGTTTTCTTTTCTATAGAACCGTTGACTCCTTCAGGTCTTATAATTCAACTTTTCTCTAAGCACCATGAATAAAATATATTCTTCATTGCTGAAAATAACTAGAGTGCCAACTAACGGAAAGGATGAGAAGCCACCAAAAGCAACTCAAAGGTGGCTTCTTCCTGCAGTTGGGACACCAAAACAGACTTGATGAGCCCACAAACACATACCTATATAAGCTATTATACTGCAATTGTATTTTTGGAAAACTGCGGCTAGTCAAGACGTGGAGTCATAGCATGCATCAGGTCGGGATTGCTCTGCCTTAAGAGTTCTGTGTCTGTTGCTCCTGGCTCAGGCTGTCAGGAACCAGCTTCTCAACAAATCTTTGTTAAATGATTAATGAATAATTTGCATCTTTATTTTATTGCTCTGAAATTGTGCCTCTTTATTTTTGATTTATTGTGTAAAACTCATGAGGATCTAAGTATATGGCCAGAAAATAAAACTAAGGTGCTCTCTATTTTAAATAATTATAAATCAATTTTTTGACTAATTTTTAAAAGAGGTGGGGGGGGAAGCCCTTGAAACAGTAATGATGTGAAGATTCAGAGACGTAAATTACCCACAGTCAGGTAAGTAGCCTGAGATCAAATACCTGTATTCCTTCAGATGTGTCACATAAGCACCATTTAATGAATCACACATTGAAATTAGACATGAATTCTTTCCACCCTTGTAACAGACAACAAATTACACAACTATAAGCTGGGAGAAGGCTTTTCTTCATTTAATTCAGGGTTTTTTTTGTATAAGGTCACTGTATTTTTAAAATTAAATACAGGACGTGTTTAATTTAAGTTTTGGTTTTTCAATAAATGCTAAATGGTGCTAATAATCAATAAAAGTCTTTGCAACAAAATTGCAAAACCCATCATTCCTGCTATATATTGAGCAAATACTGATTAGATCAGCATTCGGAAAAACAAAAACACACCAACAGTTCCTTAAGTGTATATGAAGTGTTTCAAATTTAATTTGACTTATTTTATAGTCCATTACATTGATAATATACTTTGAGCCATTCAATGTTTGCAGCCTGAATTTTCATTTTAGGCCTCATTGGATATGTGCTTCCGTGAATATCAAGGCAATGTTTACACAGGCAGTATTAGTACATTCTGTAAATTTTACCCTTATCCATGCCATGGCTGCAAAATAAAATCCACTAGTTAAGGAAAAGAACTATTATCAGAGATGGTATAATATAAATCTGTCAATGTACAATAAGTCACTGAATTATTTTATTATTCACAGTTTACTCTTAACCACACACTTACAGAATTGATCAAAATTGAAAGCCTTTTGTAAAACACAAAAATTATGCTGGCTTATTGATTTGTTTTGAGCTAAAGGAAAGGAAAAATATCTACTTTGTTTCTACTATGAATCCTCAATTTTGTTTCTAATCTCTTACCTAATCTATTTAAACTGAAGGTCAGGAAATATGTATGTATGGTTCTTAATATAATTGAATGAATAAAGTAAGTCTCACTGCAAATCACTTGGTATTTCATGTTTAACTTCCTGCTCATTCGTGATCATTTTGGAAAGATAGCTGACTTTTGTCAAATGTGTCATTAATATTTAACAGTTCAGTTTATGAATGTGTCCATGCTCTGAAAATAAAATGGAAGCTAATGAAGTTATTAGATAAGCATATCTCCTATAATTGCACTGACTTTAAAACAGTTGATCCCTTATGGATACTTTTAAATTATTTTTAGTAAGGTTTATTTATTTATTCCTTTTAGAGATAGGATCTCTTGTGTCCTGGACTAAAAAGCAATGGCATGATTTTAGCTTACTGCAGCCTTGAACTCCTGGCCTCGAGCAATCCTCCCAAGTAGTAGGATTATAGGCATGAGTCCCAGTAGCTGACTTATAAACTTCTGAATACTCTTAAAGTTAAAGTTTTCTTTCTTTTATTAAACTCCTTTTACATGAGCTCTGTCAGGGTCCTGCCCCAGGGGCAGAGTCTGTTAAGACCTGTGGATCTGGCAGCAACCAATTGAAGAAATATAAAGTTAAAAACTATAAGAAAGGAAGAGACAAGATACACAGAATAGAATTTTTAAAGGTTCTGATGGTGGCCCCAAGTGTCAGGTCCACTCAGTTTTTATTGAAGGCTATTTGTTTATTAACCCAAAAGGTAAGTTGAGGAAGGGAACAAGATGTCAGTAGTTTTTCTTTATTGTTTTTATAATCATTAACTTTAAGGGTCTGAGCAGTCTTGAGAAATCTGGCTGCCTTGTGTGAGGGCAGCCTCTTGTTTGAAGTCACATACACAGATTTCTAGGGAGATGTTAAACTCCATTAGTTGCATGTGGAGTAAAAAGCCACTGGAGGCAATTTCTTTTGAATAATTGGTGAGAGAGAGGAATTTTCCTCTCATCACCACCACAGAGGGTCTTCTTCTCTGATAAGGAATACAAGCTGACTTGCCCATATTTCAGGACTCAAACTGTTCCCTTGATCTCTGTCCCAGCCAAATATAAATCTCTACAATGGGGATTTGTTTTGACTGTTTATTGGGCAGGAAACAGCCTAGTTAATGTATCTTTCTAGGCCTTGTTACAGCATCTTCTGTGGCCATTATTCCTCAGAGTATTTACAGACCCAACAGTGGTGTTAGTAAATTGTATCTTCAAGAGGCCAGAGCTCTAGGAAAAGTAGAAAACTTGTTCAGATAAGAAATTTAGCAGCAACAGGTTCAAAGTTAAACTAGCTGACTTCTCTTTGTTCTGTCTCACTCAGCTTTTTAATTTTTCCCTTTTTCTGGGGGTGTTTTCCCTTGACAAGAATAGGGTCTTCAGTGACCATTCTGCCTGCAAGCTCAATGTAATGTTTTGTATTAAAGGAATGAATAAAGCAAGCCCATATTTCATCTAAGCTTACCTTGAACCGGCCCATTTTGCATGATTTCTTTCATTATCTCAGTTTCCTAGAAGGAAAAATATTAATGACCATTATCATTGTTATCAGAGCATGCTAAAGTTATTGGCTATTGTACAATATTAGGTGATGTACAGTCAATTTAGATGTTATATAATCCAAAGTGACCTAACCATTTTCAATTTCTTCTTAGTCATGCTTTGAAAATACTTGTGAATTTCCACATTAATGAAATTGCTAAAGGCGAGATGTACCCATTTGTTTTAATAACTTTTATTACTAAATAATAATTTTGGAATGAACAAAAAGGCAGTAAATTTTTTTTGTGGTAACAAAGAAAAACTAGTCAAGGTAAGTTAAAATCATTAATCAGTGGAAATTATGTTACCCCTAATCTTTTGATCACAAGACCTGTCCCAAAAGATTGTTTAGTGACGTTCCTCAGTAGCTTTAGTGCAAGGATTTCTGTGTTACCTTCCAATATGTTTCAGTCGGCCCTCAGCAGGGAGGCAAAGCATTCATTTATTCATTCATTCTTCTGTATATAGTGAGCACAAGGTACAAACTAGAAACTACAGTACAAACAAATATTGACCTGGCACCTATCCTCAAGGTATTAAAGTTTTGGTGGAATAGAAAGACAACACCACTACTAATGTCATCAGTCCATGATATACAATATGATCTACTATAGAGAGAAATGCAAAGTGCCATGAATACAAACAAAAAAGAGAAATTAACCTTGCCTAAGAATCAAGGTAAACTTGATACAAAGAAGATGAAGTTTTGAGCTGGGCCTTGACATTCACGTGGCATTTCACCAGAAAGTAAGGTGGAATGACCACTAGGGTCAGAGGAATTATCACCTAGCTAAATAGAAAAACATGAAAGACCAGAGTATACCTGGGAACAGAGACTAGTCCTATATATCAGAAGCATTATTGCCAGATAGAGGAGGTATGGTGGCAGGACAGAAGTCTATAAAAGTAATAAGTCAGAACTATCTCATGAAAGCCCAAGGTGCCATGATAAGAACATTGAATTATATTCTGGAGATTACTGGAGTCACCGGACATTCAGAGTTTCTGAAAATAAGAAGACCTAGGTAACCTGATATGATTTAGTAAAATTTGCCCATGCTTTTAGCATGACTAATTGGAATCCAAGAGAGCCTTCTTCCTATTATGGCCATGTCCTCTTTAAGTACTTTGTAGAGCAAGGCAAAAGATTGATAAAATGAGCTACAACTACAAAAAAATCAGGGAAAAAGTGTTTTACTTAGGTATAATTGTCAAGCATATAGTACATATATATATGTATGTATATACACATACATTATAGAACATAATTTTAAAACCCTATTTCCATAGCATTGCTTAATCTAAGCCAATTCTTTATACTGTTAATATTACAGAGATTAGAAATCATACCCAACCTGAAAGTCTTTAGCAGATACTTTAAGAAAATTTAAAAAAAAATTATACTTGAAACATAACATTTATTTTAGAATATAATAGATTTAAATAGTTTTTAAAGATAAGATCTATACATGTTTAAGAAAGTCAAATGTTATCATTTCTCACCATTTGGACTTACATTGGAAGAGATTCTGTATGGAGGTGAACACTGGTAGATCCTGTTGGATTTCTCTATGTTATTGGGACATGGCTTTGTGGCATGCCGTTTTCCCCGCCCATCAGACCTACTCGCCATGGCACAGCCACTATTGGTAGCATGTTGGTCCTTGAAAAGTGGGTAGCATGCATGGGATACCAGTCTATGAGGAATAAGCAAAGAAGCAAAGATGGCATTTAGGAAAGTGCCATAATATCCAGTGTAAATTCAATTTTACTGACTTAAATATTCATAAATTATTGCAAGGACTTGCATGCATAACTTTCAAAACATTGACTGACTCTAATAAAGAAACTCAATCACATTACACTCCCCTAACCTCCTCTTAATTCTTCATTATAATTTTTAAAATCTTGCTTCAATCCATTTTTAGTAAATAAGGCTATCTGTAGTACAAGCCAGAAAGAGATCCCTTACCAAGAACCAAATTAGCCAGCATCTTGATCTTGCATTTTGCAGCCTCCAGAACATAAATGTACATTGTTAAAGCCACTAAATCTATAATATTTTATTATGGCAGCCCAAGCAGACCAATAAGTGAGATTTAATTGGATCTCAATGATAATTTATATTTGTAAGCTCCTAATGATCTTTTATTTTTAACAGTACAATGTGGAGGCCAAACAAGCCTCCATTAACAGTAGGAAGATTATCTGTCCAAATTGCCCTTCCGAAGCACTGCTTTATTAAGCAAAACATATGAAAAAATTTAAATAATTTATTGCCATCTATCAATATATGGCACACTCTTCAGAGCATCTGTTTTAGAGAAGCCCCAGAGCATTGAGAGAATGATAAAGGAACAAGTGAGGAATATCTACATGTACTACTGGTTATCAGCTGCAGTTTTCTTAGCCAAATAACTCAGCTCTGCAGTAGATTAGTAGACACACAAAGTGCTTCGTGAGTAACAGGCAACATGAGAGAAAGAAAATGCAACCAGCCATTTTTCATCAAATGAGATCAGAAATGTTAATGAATAATATTGATGAGTTGAGACAACTATAATTTATTTGTTTATTTGCTTCTGATTTTTAGTCTAATTTTATCTGGCATGCTCTATCTACCTATGTAAGTGAAAGGCACAATAGTGATATTAGCAACATTGAATACTTGATTCTGTCTATGGAGACTTAATAGGACCATTTGACTCAGAACAAGAAGATGAAAATGTTTGAGCCTCCAAAAGTCAAATTCACATTAATTTAGCTAGAAATGTATATCCTCTTCAATAATTATTTCTAAGAGGTTCTAAAATTAATAGATAACAAATATAGTATATATTTAAATATAGCATATATATTTATACAGATGTAGCATATCCATTTCCAAATTTGGGTATAAAAATCTTGAAATAATATTTTTCTCCTCATTCTAACCCAAAACAGCATCATAAGAATCTTAGAAATACATTTTGGGTAGCTATTTACCCACGTTTTCTCAGGTACCACCAAGCCCTATCGATGCTTCCACTGTTGCATCCGTGACGATTCTTGGCACAGCAAGAGATCAAATTCTGAGGGGACAGATTAGCTGTGTATCGACCCTTAGACTGAATTGCTATTCGGTCAGCTGCCACACCTGGTTCAAATAGAATAGTGATTAATATTCAAATAGCACATAATATTTTTTATAATTTGCATAACCCTTTTTGTTTCAAATGTAAGCTAGTCTTTTTTTTTCAGTAAGTTAAGATTTTATTTCATTTTATATTTCAGGTTAATATGAAGGTACAAATGATTAGGTTACATTGTTTGCATTTGTTAGGTAAAGTTCAAGTTGCAGTTGAGCCCTTCACACAGGGGATGTGCTATATACCCTTACATCAGGCCCCTTAGGAGAGAGTTTATGAATCCCTCTTCCTCCTTCCTCTCTCTTTCCCTCCCCTCCTCCTTACTTGAATTTAATTGTGTTTTTTTTCCTTTTTTTTTTTTTGGCCAAGGCTGGGTTTGAACCCGCCACCCTCGGTATATGGGTCCAGTATCCCACTCCTTTGATCCACAGGTGCTGCCCAAATTTAATTGTCTCTTTTCTTGTGTGGGCATGTGGTTGTTTATCTATTGGTTTCATATTAATATTGAGTACATAATGTACTAATGGATACTTGCTTTTCCATTGTGATACTTTACTAAGAAGAGTTTTCTTCAATAAATTAAGACTTTAAAAGGTAAGCTAGTCTTCAAAACAGTATTAATTTAAAACTAAGCCCAACATCAATGAGCCCATGTCTATGTATTCCACCCAGTTTAGTGTGTCATAATTTCAGTCATAATCTTTGTCCTATTTTGGTATTGTCCCACTGTCTTATTGACTTCAAGGAATTTCTTAGTTCCTTGTTCTTTTTATGTTATATATACTTTGGAACTCTTCATTAGCAATCTGTTCAGTGAAACTCTTAAAGGGCAAGAGCCATATGTTGCTTTTCCTATTTTTAGTAGAGATGGAGGGGAGTCTTGCTTTGTTCAGACTGGTCTGGAACTCCTGACATCAAAGGATTCCCCCTAACTCAGCCTCCCAGTAATGCTAGGATTACAGATGTGAGCAACTGTGCCTGACTGGGTAATGTTTTTAATCAATATATCTAAACTGGGGAAATCAAAACTACTGATCATAGAAATATTACTTAGAAATTTAATCATGCTAATCTGATATAGTGGAGTAAATAGAATCCTCAATTTTTAAAATGGTATCTAATTTAACAACCCACACTTAAACTAATCCACAGTAAAATGAATTTCTTTTATGTAATATCAAAAAGCTACATACAACAGTTTTATGTTCATAATATGAATGAAAATCATTACCTTAATTTTTTTCAATAGATATAGAATTCAGCTTATTTATACATATATATGGCACAAGGTGAATATGTTATTAGTTGTATCTGTAATAATTAACTATATAACTATTATTGACTAATATTATATATAATATATAATACAGTTATATATAGCTACATACATAATTACATATATATTCTATAATACTATATATAACTATATAGCTAACCAATAATACATAATGGTATATATAACAGTTAGGTAGTTAGCTAGGTATGAGCACAGCAAATGACACATGAGGTTAAGCTATTTTGGATTATTTTTGGTCAGGCTGACTGGATTATTACGGAAATAAGGCTGATTAAGACCTTACAGGTGGGTTGTTTTGAGAACTGAGTTCATTAAGATCCTGGAAGACTTCCAAAAAGCAGGTGCTATTCCTCAAACTTGGATGTTAGATCCCAAGAAATCCTTTCCACGGAGCCTGCAATCACTAGAACAGGGCCCAACTTGCTATGCAGGTCATTAATAAATTTTTTTTTCTTGCTAAAACTTTACTTGCTCTTTTTAATTATTTTGGAAACTACCTTGAGCCACCACACCACTCTAACATAACTAATAGAAAATTAAACTATTTATTATAACTATTATTAACCGAAATATTAGTTATTTATTTTTATATATACGAGTATGATTAAACCTTCTGTTCTTCTATTTACATAATTCTCTATCATTGTTGTTATCAATTCATTTCTTCCTGTAACACCTGCAAGGTGACAGGGAACGTAGCACTGGAAATTACAATGACAAACACAAAGTGAGAAAAGCATAGTTCTGCCCTCACAGAAAATAAACTAGGAAAACTAATCTACCAGTACCTACCATTGTTTGGATCATGCTACCATGACAAACTCTTGTGAGTAATGGTTTGCTCATCATCATAAAAACATTGGGGTATATGCCTTATCAATACAGACTTTTTTGTTGTTGTTAGATACTTCGTACAGTCTCATTCTTGACATGTAATTTCTTTTCACTTTAAATAAAAGGTAACAAAGTAATAACTTTTCTTCAATTTCACTCATTTTTGTCAGTGGAGGTTATAGTTTTTTTCCTCATCAAAATTATGAGTGTACTAGAACTCCACAGGTGTTCATTTAGAATTTTTCCAAAGTAATTTATATTAAAATAGTTCACTTACAGATCTCTCTTTTTATATATATGGTTTTTATGTAACTACAGGATATGTATAGTGCTGTGGGACATTGCTGACGTGTTTTAGATGCTTAACCTGTATTAAATCTATAACCTAAATCTTTTTCAATGCCAATCTATTATTGGGTCGGGATGTATTTCATAGGAGCAAATGGCATTATACTACCACTGCTGATATCCTCAAAAAAATAATTCCCTACTTCCTAAAACAGTAACTCTTTGTGCTTTGACATTCAGTACAGGAGTTCAAAATCAAATAGAATTTTTTTTAATGTTAGGGTAACTGTTCTTTCATACAGGAAATACTTTTATAGTACAGAGAAAACAGTACTCCAGTAGTTGGAAGCCTGTACTTTCAGGTTTTTTTCTGATACTTCTTGTCTTTTTGCTTCAAGTAAGTCACTTCAGCTATTTGGGCCTCCCTCATTAAAAGAAGAGGCTTGAAAAAGTGACTGCCAAGATCTCTTCTAGCCCTGTGAATCTGCAGATTTCAACTAAAGGCTAAGTGTTTTCAATTCTAATGTTATGCAATGTGTTGCTTTTAGACAGACATTTCTGAATCTCAATGAAGGTTTAGTGCAAATTCACTTGAAATATTTAGAAAAGGTCAGAAGATTTAAGAATGATTCAGTTCTGCCAATTGTTTCCCTCCCTTTTGAAAGTTTTCATAGGGCATTGCCTCTGAGACATCCTCTGTTATTGTCTCTGCTTATTTTATTGTCTCCAAATCGACTCTGTGACATGTATTACTCCCACTACTCCGAACACCTTTATCTCTTCTGCTTCTCACAGTTATTTGGATTTTATATGGTTTGTCTCGTTTATTCCATTTTATAGCTTTTAGTTTCCCTGAGAGATATTTTTTCTTATTTTAACTATTAGCACCCATCCTGACATAATTTTTTAGATCTTTATGAGAACTTAATTTTTTTCTTTATTTAACACACACACATATACAAAATCAACCTGATTTACCATACTGAATACACAAAACTGTGTCCTCTAAAACTACAGAAAGTTTGCAAATCCTCTCTCTGGTGTTTTCCTGAGTTAGGTGGGAGGACAATCCAGATTTCGCCTGTGCAGAGTACACCAAAATACACCTCCAGCTTAGCAAGTGGCTCTCAATATTCAAGCACTAACAGTTTTCCTTTGGTATCTTCAGAAATAATTGGTTTACCTTAAATTTAAGGCAAAATTCTTACCAGAATGAGTAATATAGTAACCACATGAACATAAAATGACTGATGATTTATTTGATAAATCTCCCCCCACTCATCTGAAACAGGGCTCAGAAAGATCCTGATGTGGGTCCCTAACACGTTAGCAACGTTAGAGAGGCAGAGAGCACTGATGCTGGGGATGTGGGCAGTAGTGTGGAGTTGGTAGATTTAGCCTCTCCTGAGGGGAGTCTGGCTACCATGATGGTTCTGCCAAAATCACTGTGGAATGGTCTGGCTAACATGATGAAGAAATATTTACACAAACTATTATATTTATTTAAACAAAAATATCAGCATTTCTCTGTCCCAGGGTATTCTACTCTTAGAGCACTGACTTCTCTGACAGTCTATGTACTCACTTTGCAATAATTCAGCATTTTAAACTTTTGGAGCACTCCTAAAGTTACCTACATACCCTACAGCATAGTTTTACAATGATATGTGATTGTGGCCAATCACCATAATGTTAGGTTGTATTTAATTGTTGAAATATAACCAATACTCTCTCAAGTGTAGTTTTGGAGACCACATCTTAGGGTTGACCTGAGTAACTCATTGATTTGACTTGTGAACTTATATTAATGTTACTCTAAAAGAGGCATTCCTTAGACTTTTTAAGTAATAGTAGCATTAATTTAGAAGCTACTATTATTAAGAGATTAGTTATATTACTTTTAAGTCACAACCTCTATAGTGTGTGCATTTATTTATATTTACTTAAAATAATATAAACCTATTTGATCCATTATTATTTAGTTTTAAAGTATTTATATCAAATTAGATTAATAATTAAGTATATTTTTGCAACTCTTACAAAATAAAAAAAATTAAGGATTAGGTGGTTGTATCTATATATGTATTAGGATTACAGATAACATTATAAATGAAAAACCTTAATACCCTTTTTATTATCTGGTCTTAACTCTCTGTAGACAAATTTTAGCAACTTCATTTTGTTGCTCTTGTGATTCACTCTCTATTTAAAATTAAACTCTAAAAATAAAAACCAATTTTTAGACTAAAAATGGAGTTTTACCATAATATTCAGGTTACTTTCTCCACTCAGAATAACATTTTATTTTAACTGAGCATACATTAATATTTTAAATATTCAGATTTTAAAAATCTTTTAATTTTCATCTCAGTCTCTAGAGTCAAATGGGGAGTTTTAAAGGAAGTAATTAAAATGAAATCATTACTTGCAGTGGAAAATGCCCAGGATGCAGCACAATTTTTTTGATCCAGCGGACCATGAGTCCATCCAGGCCACTTATAAGAAGCAACAAAAAATTCTGGAAGATCAGTTGTTTTAGGTAAAGAAGCCTAAAGAGGAAGGAGAGGCAAATGGGTCAGAATTTCTCAAATGTGTCCCAATAGGATCATAGGAAAATGTCAAACACTTTTATAAAGTTCATAATTATTTGTTAAATTATTTTGTACATTCAAGTTTATAAATGAAGTAAAGTTAAGTAGGATGGCAATTATATCAAATCGTATCATAATATAAAATCTTAAGAACAATACATAGTATGTGTTTCCTGGGTACAGTGAATAATTTCAGCCAAAGTCTCTGTCATCTTAAATCAGTTTTACTCATCCATAGGAAAAACTACATGGTGTTATCTAAATTTGTCTTTATAAAGAACATTTACTTTTCTGTCCCTCCTATTTTGGAGAGTGTGTGTGATTCTGAGGTGAAATTAATTTTGAAAGGATGAATTCATGGTAATTATATATTAACACACTTGGAGCCCCAAGGAATACATCAATTTTACACCAGCTGTTAGGAAATGAAACTAGGAGGAATTGGTTGATATTTATAAAATCCTTGAAGATTAAAAAGGACTTCAAACCAAATATACAAGAGCATGATGTCTTAGGAGTCCATGTTGAAGCCTTGGCAGAGTCAATTTCATATTCAGTCTTTCCAAGAAGTCAAAATAAATTATATGAAACATGCCCTGTTCATGACATTTAAAGAAAATATACAATACGACAGATTGTTTTATCTCTAAACTTTTTAGAGAGTGATGACTTGCACTTACAAAAATAATAAAACTAGAGCCAAATAAGGATTTATTGTTTTTTTAATCAGTCACATATACATGTTCACACGATAACCACACACATACACTCATAATTTTAAGAGTGTTTTAATGTTTTCAAAGTGTTTTAATGCTTACCATTTTATTTTATCTTCTCAATATCCCTATGTGATATTATCAGAGAAAATACTATTATCTCTTTTTAATTAATGAGGAAACTGACTTAAAATTTAAAAGACATGTGGAGGAGGCAAGATGGCCAACTGGAGCCAGCTTTACACAGAGGCTTTTGTCCAGAAGGAGAGTTAAAGGACAGAACTTTAGGGAGTAAGCTGATGGTTTGGAGCTGAGCCAAGAAAGATGATTGAAAAGTGCACATCACCCCCGCTGAAGTGAGCTGCAAGCCCAAGGAAACAAACAATAGGTACAAAACCCATAGCCAAGTGGACGGGAGTCCCCTACCCCATGAGAACAGCTCCAAGTATACTTTCAATAAGTGAACAGAGTTCAGATCTCCTCCTATTTTATCCCATGGGAGAGGCCCTGTAAAAAACATAACTCTTTCCCCAGAGAGGACCCACCAGTGTGCCATGGTACTCTCTGCCAAGCATAAAACTGAATATATACCCTACCCGCAATTCTGAACTCCCAGCACTCCCCTCCACTCTCACCCTGTGTTCTGGAAGCCTGTCCCCCATGGAGTTCAGATTCTTGGGCATTTTCTTGAGAGGTGTGGACAGGGCATGGACTGTTACAAGTCTATGTTGAATTGGCGGCATATGTGTAAAGTGGGGACTGTGGAGCAAGGGAGCCATACAAGAGAGGGAGAGATGGTGCCCTGTGGTGAGCAAAGCAGCAGCAGCAGCAGGGGGAACAATAGGGCTCACACCCCTGGTGATGTTTTGAAGAAATACTTCCCACCTCTCTCAGCAAGCAGAGGGAGCCAGGCCTCTGCTCCAGTGGCAGCAATGGTGGAACAGATCTGGGATGGAAATGCAGGCCCCATGAGCAAAGGGTATGTCTGAGGCAGTACCTGCTCTGGCAGGGCCCCCGAAGACAGAGAATATAATCAGTGCCCATGCAGAGGCAGCATACTTCTAGGGTTTGGCTGAGTCAGAATTGCTGCTTTCGTGAGCCTGAGATGCAACTGACCCCAGGAGAGCATAGGTGGGAAAAAAGCAAGAGAGGCAGCAGCATTAACCAAGGGAAGGGCAGGAATTGAAAGCCTTTTGTGAGCTCTCACCCACCCTAACACAGAGTGCAGCGGAGACAGAGATGCCAGCTCCATGAGAATTGGCACTGTGGCAGCATCACAGGGCAGGGCTGAGTGGCAGTTTCTGTGAACTCAAACAGTGCCTGGCCCACAGGGGAATATAGTTGGGACATAAAGGCAAATTCTGCAGGAAAATAAATAGCAGCAACATCAATCAGGGGCAGAGCTGGAACTGAGTGAAACTCCCCAGCCTCAATTAAGCACTCAAGTAGTCAGGCTTCAGCTCCCACTGCTGGCTGGTGGCAGACTGCAGTGGCCTGGTCAAGAACACATATATCTCCAATGACTATGACAGGTGAAAAATCTGGTTCATCTGCTCATTGGATGGAAATGGATCACAGCCATGTGGGGTTACCAGTGACTGGGTGTGATAGAAGTACAAGGTGGGGAGGAGACATCAACCTTCCAGGACTAATTCATTTGCTGGGTGGGCCCTTCTGACTCCATGGAGCAACAGAACAAGTATCTCCCACTTGAGACTGGGTGCTACCTGAGACAACTGATATGGATCTCTTGCCCTAGGAAAATCACCCAAGAACCATTCAAGGAGGTACCCTGGTTGTGTTGTTGTGGGAATTTTTGATTTTCCTTTTCTAGTTGTTGCCTGTCAGGCAGTGGGGTGTCTTAGTTGCTTGTATTTCTCCACAGCTGAGACTTCAACCCAGAGTTACTGATTCACTAGGATTGGACAGAGACCAACTGAAAACAAGACAGAGCCACTGAGCCCCACAACACCAAGGAGGTCCCCAGTGTCTCAGCCACAGTACTGTACTGGTTCTATGCAAAGCTCTAAGGGAAAACCTGCAGTCACCAGTTCCAGCTCTTGGGCAAAGGGCTGGTTAATCACTACTCCAGAAGCCACAAATCCAATTTCACCTTATCTCCTCATCTAGCCAAACGGTGGAAAATAATCATGGGGTGGAATCAGTGGAAAAACTTTGGCAACATAAATAATCAGAGTAGATCAACTCCCCCAAGGAATGACAAAACAGAAACACCAGAAGATCACATTCATAAACAAATGCCTGAGATGTCAGAAATAGAATTCAAAATTTGGGTTGCAAATAAGATTAACAGAACAGAGGTAAAGTTGGAATTAGAAATTCAAGGAGGATTTCAAAAGTTGTCCCAAGAATTCAATGAATTCAAAGACAAAATTACTAATGATTTTGACACATGGAGACAAGAATTTGCCGCCCTCAAAGAACTGAGAAATACAGTAGAATCCCTCAGTAACAGAATGGAGCATGCAGAAGAAAGGATTTCTCACATTGAAGAGAAAGTTTTTGAATGCTCCCAAATGATCAAAGAGGAAGACAAGTGGAGAGCAAAAATGGATCATTCTCTCAGAGAGCTCTGGGACAATTCGAAGAAAACTAATATTCGCCTTATAGGAATTCCTGAAGGCAACGAAGTTGCTTCACAAAGCACAGAGGCCCTTTTTCATGAGAATATGAAAGAGAAACTTCCAGACATGCCAAGAAATTCTGAAATGCAGATAACACACAGTTTCAGAACCCCAGCATGACTCAACCTGAATAAGACAACCTCCAGATACATCATAACTAACTTCACTAAAGTTAATATGAAGGAGAAAATGCTGAAAGCAGCCAGATATAAGAAAACAATAACCTACAAGGGGAAGAATATTAGAATGGCTGCAGATCTCTCTGCTGAAACCTTTCAAGCTAGAAGAGGGTGGTCATCGACTTTTAATCTCCTAAAACAAAATGACTTTCAACCTAGGATCCTGTATCCAGCTAAAATTAGTTCCATTTATGATGGAGAAATTAAATACTTTAATGACATGCACATGTTGAAGAAATTTACCATAACTAAACCAGCTCTCCAGGATATCCTCAGACAAATCCTCCATAATAACCAGCACAATCCTCCACCACAAAAGTAAACTCACTCAGAAACTTTTGATCAAATTCCAACTTCCACAGTGATAAAAGGATTAAAAATGTCCACTGGACTTTTGAAAAACTCAATATCCAAAATACTACCAGGCTTATTAATATACTCAATTAAAGTGAATGGCTTAAATTGTCCTCTAAAGAGGCACAGGTTGGCTGACTGGATACAAAATTCAGGCCAAATATCAGTTGCATACAAGAATTTCATCTTACCTTAAAAGATAAATATAGACTCAGAGTGAAGGGACAGTCATCTATCATTCCGGCAAATGGCAATCATAAAAAAGTAGGTGTTGCAATTTTAGTTGGAGATACAATAGGCTTTAAACCAACAAAAGTAAGAAAAGATAAAGATAGTCACTTCATATTTGTTAAGGGCAACACTCAACATGATGAGATTTCAATTATTAACATTTATGCACCCAACTAAATGTGCCTCAGTTTATAAGAGAGACTCTAACAGTCTCTAACTCAATTTCCTCCATAATAGTTGGAGATTGTAACACCCTTTTGGCAATGTTGGATAGATCCTCCAATAAGACGCAAAGCAAAGAAATTTTAGACTTAAACTTAACCATTCAATAATTGGATTTAACAGACATCTACAGAACATTCCATTCAAACAAAACAGAATAAACATTCTTCTCATCAGCCCATGGTACATCCTCCAAAACTGATCACATCTTAGGTCACAAGTCTAACCTTAGCAAATTTGAAAGAATAGAAATTATTCCTTGCCTCTTCTTGGACCACCATGGAATAAAAGTTGAACTCAGTAACATCAGAAATCTGCATTCTCATACAAAAACATGGAAACTAAATAACCTTATGCTGAACCATAGCTGGGTCATAGATGAGATAAAAAAGGAAATTACCAAATGTTTGGAACAAAAGGATAATGAAGACATGAATTACCAGAACTCTGGGATACCACAAAGGCAGTCCTAAGAGGGAAATTTATAGCATTGCAAACCTTCCTCAAGAGAATGGAAAGAGAGGAAGTTAACAACTTAATGGGACATCTCAAGCAACTAGAAAGGAAGATATTCCAATCCCAAATCCAGCAGAAGAAAAGAAATAGCCAAA